TTTTTTTTTTTTTGCCTCATCCTCCAGAGGAAATAAAAGCTGAAACTGAAAAGCAAAGGTTCGTGGGGTTTCTTCTCTTTAGTAAAATAATTTGCCAATTTGTTTTCTTAGCCAAAATAAAAATATAGTGATTTATATTTTATATGGTACATTATTGCATGCTATCTGCAGTAAAACAAACTTCCAAAAATTTAAGAATCTGGAAATATAAATACATGAAGATCTTAGATAAGTAAATATCTAGGGTTATTTTTAAAATACCACAAAATATGTTTTCAAGTTTTTTTCTCAAAGACTGATGAATACTTAGGAAGATTATTATGTTTCATTGATAATATTGGCTAGTATTAAGTAACTCAGAAGTGTAGTTCGACTTAAGGACAAATAGAAAGTTCATTGCCTTTAAGATAAATTTATTAAGTAACAGTAAAGTATTTTGATGGTAGAAACATCTTGAGATCATTGGAAAGACTATTTGACAAGAATCTAGAGTGCTGTGTTTAGCTAGTGCTCTGACCACTTGTATTTATTTGTCCTTGTGGCAAAATCACTTTATTCTTTCAGGCTTTGTTTTCCTCGTGAAATAAGGGACAAGAACCTGGTTTAACAACGCCCCCTTCAGCACTGTTATTTATTTGCTACTTTATGAGCTTATAATCAGTATGATAAATGATACTCTAAACAGGCTCTTCTTTTTCATTTAGTCCACCTCACGGAGAAGCAAAAACTGGATCAAGCACTCTTCCACCAGTGAAATCAAAGACAAATTTTATTGAAGCAGACAAGTACTTCTTACCTTTTGAGTTGGCATGTCAGTCCAAATGTCCCCGCATAGTTAGTACTTCACTAGATTGTTTACAGGTATGTAAAAACTGGCATTATCGAAGAACTGTATACTTGAATGTGTTTCAAAACATAATTACAGCTGATGACTCAGATTTTTTTCCACTAGAGCCTTGACTATAATTTTTTTGGTAAGAAAACAGTGATCGCCTAAAGTCAAAATAGAGAACAGTAGTTGTAAAAAAGAGATTTCTAGTTTAATGATAACCAAAATCCTATGTTTAATGAGACACATAATCTTTACTAATATAATAACAAAAGTGTGTTTCTATCAGTGCAATGCTGGAGCCATAGTTTATCACCCTGCTTACAACTTTACATACAGTATTACTTGCAAAAGATTTTACTAAGTACCTGCTGTTTTAGATCAGGTAATAGGTTAATGTTGACTGCTTATTATATTTATTGCTGGGCTTTAGATACAACATTCACTTATGCCAGAATATTTCTTGAATGTTTCTTTCAACCTCTCTCTCTCTCTCTCTCTCTCTCTCACACACACACACACACACACACTTTCTCTCTGTCTCTGTAGACAACCCTCCCAGTTCTTCTCATCTCAGGTGTTTGCACAGTTTGGTGACTGTATCTATTCAACTGATACAATTCAGTAGCTATAACAGTGCCGTATAATTTATCTTAACAGTTCAGTGCCAATAAATAGGCCATATGATTTGCACGAAATATAAATGGGGCTAAAAGTAAATTCACTTGATTTGTGATCTTTTCTGTGGAAAACTGGAATTATAGCTAAGGCTGTCCTTCCAGGCTATAACAGTTAATGATGAATGAGCAAGCCTGTGATAATTTGGAGCTAGCTTTTGAGTCCTTAGGAAACGTTTTTACAAGACAATGTCAATAAAACCATGTTTGAGTAGAAAGCAATAAACTATTTGAACTCACAGGGACAAATTATCAAAGCCTGGGCATTTCAAAGTATTGCTTGGTGGTTTTGTTTATTGGCTACCTATCTATAGCTAATAAATTTGTTAACAAAGTTCTTATTACCTTTGACTACATTTATATGTTAGGCTTTTTATGTAAAAAATCGAATATATATTTAGTTGATAGGCATTTCATCTTAATTTGCATGTATGTGTTTAATTAGGATCTTTATTTTCTTTATCCATTTTAGAAACTTATTGCTTATGGACATTTAACTGGCAATGCCCCAGATAGTACGACACCAGGCAAAAAATTAATTGATAGAATTATTGAAACAATATGTGGCTGTTTCCAAGGTCCTCAAACAGACGAAGGAGTTCAGTTGCAGATAATAAAGGTAATTAACTTTAGAAGTTAATCTGTTATGCTTAATCTATATTTTTTTGAAATGAGAAATATTTTCACCTTGAAAATATTTGGAAAGTTTATTTCATCCGTATCCTACTATAAGGGTGCTTCTTGGGCCCTGTTTCAAGGGATTTCATTGTCGAAATAACCAAGACTTTCTGTTGTGGTGGTTGTTAGGTATGGTTGAATTGGTTCTGACTCGCCTTATGTACAACGGAATATAATACTGCCTGGTCCTGTGCCATCAATGCAGTTGTTTTATGCTTAAGTCCATTGTTGCAGCCACTGTGTCAGCCCATTTCCTCGAGGGTCTTCCTCTTTTTCACTACACTTCTACTTTACCAAACGTGATGTCTTCTCTAGGGACTGGTCTCTCCTGACCACATGTCCAACATTTGTAAGACAGAGACTTGCCATCCTTCCTCCAAGGGGCACGCTGACTGTACTTCTTCCTACACAGATCTGTTTGACCACGGTACTTTCAGTATTATTCTCCAGCATCACAATTCAAATACATTAATTCTTCTTTGGTCGTTCTTATTCCATGTTTAACTTTCACATGTGGAATAAGAGCCCATGATCTCTTCTTCTTTGAAAGACCCAATTTAGATTTGACCTAACAATAAGAGCTTCCCAGAGTTCATTTCAGGCACGCTTCCTGGACATATTTCATCCTTAAAGCTTTTTAGAGTACCACATGACTCCTTTACTTTGTGTATCATGTTGGACTCCTACTAGCATGACCTCTTGATCACTTTGTGAACTACTTGTCCACTGACTTTCTTGGTTCTTTTACATCCTATGTATCTACTGAATCTGCTCAACAAAATCTCATCCTGAGACTATGCAGTAGTGTATTTGAATGGTTGAACACATTTACAGAAGTTAGTCATATTTCCACTTAATTACAAATATTGAGTTCTTAATGTTACCGATATTGAAGTTAAATTTTTGTTTACTGTTACTACTTTTGAAATTATTGACCTGGATTTACACAAATGTTTATATGTAAATACAAATACAGCCTTTCTGAGCCTTTCAATTTTATAGCTGTACTTACTTTATCAGTTAAATAATACATTTATTCTAAAAAGAGATCCAATTAACTTGGCCTGTCATTTTCAGTTTCATGTAATTGGTTCATTTAGGAAATATTAATGCTGATGCTGACTCTGCATGACACTACAATATAAAAAGGACAAAATAAATGAATCTTTGTTCTTGCTAAATGTAAAGTAACTTATTACATGAAAATTCATACATATAAATTAGAATTGTTTATTGTAGCTTTGTCATGAGAGTAAATTTTAAGATTTGATCCTAGTTCATATTTAAATCTAGAGCGTAGCTATTAACTGTTGGCATATAGATTTAGCGCACTTCTGAAGTACAAGGAGCCCTCTCACTGCCAGGGAATCCTTGTGGTTTCAAACAAGGTAGAACAGATGTTATGAGGGTTAAAGTAAAGAACCTGTGAATGTGCCAGCTGAGGCATTCAATACATGCTTTTTGCATATAAACCAAAAAATAACTTGTGATTAATTAAAAACTTATACCCAACATGAATTGCTAGTCCATTAATGCAGATGCAAGGCAAACATTTTTATGTTGTTTTTTTCACCCACTGTATTACTAAAGCATTCTTGTTGCATTCAGTGGATAACAGAACATTTGTTTTTCCCATAAATCTTTCAAGATTGCTTCTTAAGGCTTGAGTTTTTTCTTAAGTTCTTTAAGTTTTTTGGTTTTCTAACACACTTCGCACATTTCATTATAATACCATATAAACCATTGTTTTCTCCTCCAGATTGTTTATCCTCCCTATCTTATCTAGATAGACCTGCAGAGATAATAATATGCACAGAAAACAAGACAGAGCAAAACAAAGCAACAAAAAAAAACAATGACCAAAAAAAGCCTTCAAATAGTTCAAGGCTTGTTTGTTGACCTTTAGGAGTGTTTTCTGGTCAAATCTGGTGGGGTGCCATGCCCTGGCCCCAAAGTCTATTTTTGGTATTCCCTCGGGCTCTCCTTGCTGTTCTGTTGCACGCCCTTAGTGTTTTGCCTCGGTGTGGTGGGGTCAGATTGGGCACAATTCCTGCACTGTGTCTCCAGTGTTGTCCTCGTAGGGCTATGGGTCTGTGAGGGATGTCGTGTCTTGTAGTGGGGCTAACCACATGTCCTCTCTGTGCATTTGCTGCTCTGAACAGGGATATCGTCCTCAAGGTTTGGTGGACCAGGATGTGCTCCACTCACTCTTCTTCCCCCTTCATTAAAAAAAAAAAAATTAAGTGCACATGGAAAAAGCACACCAGCCTGTGTGATCCAAGAATTGTAAATAATAATACCCAAGTCCAAAGGAGGGAGTGACCTCAGAGCTTAAATTCTGAACAAGGGTTTGTAGAAGGTTACTGATGACAGTAGATTCCCAAAATCCATTTGCAGCATCCCCACATGGATTAAGCCTTTGGTGAATCCTCTTTAACCATACCCAGAGATGTAAATTGCCTTGTTATCAGACAGGGTGCATTGTAAAGTGGATGATGGCAGATGTAGTTAGGTTAAATTGTAACACCTTATCTTTTGATCTCCCCTTTGACCCACTTTAAGTTGTTTCAGTTTTTAGTATTTTTTGACTGAGGTTTTTCTGTTTTATTTTTGTCATTGTTGTTGGTTTGTTTCCTGTTTTTTTAATTGCATGATTTTCCGTATATGAAATCCAGGATAGAACAATCTATAAAGACAGTAACTGGATTAATAATTACCTAGGGGGCATGTGTTTTTAATGACCTTTTGCTTTCGTCATGAATGATGGTCTTACTGCCCTCCCACAGCAAAGCAGATCTTCTGTCTTTAGGGCTCAATGCATTAAATCTATTCTTGAGATGTTCTGGAAATTCAGGTGGGATAGACTCAAGGTCTTATTTTGACTTCATGAACTTGTTTTAAGTTTCTTCAGTTTTAGCCTGAACTTACAGATGAACAACTGATAATCTGTTCCACAGTCAACTCCTGGCTTGGCTTTAGCTGCTGATATTGAGCTTTTCTAGTGTCTCTTCCGTCAGATGTAGTCAATTTGATTTCTGTGTATTCTATCTGGGTATCTCTCTGGATGAGTAGCAAATAAACCTTTGTGCCTATTTTCTAGTTTCCCTAAGAGAGGATAATGAGAATGTGCCCTAATGCCTCACTCCAAATATCCTCCAGGGTCTTTTTGAATTCTGGCTTGTAGGCTCTGCTCCTGGCTCTGCCCATTCTTATAGGACTCCAGGATTTCAATCTGGCAGACTTCATTGGTGCCATGCCCGTTGTTGACTTCCTTTACTCATACATGAAAAAAAAAGAGAATCAAGTTTTTCACCATAGCCAAAATTATCTCCTCAAAGTTTCCTGACAATTCAGATTTCAGATCTTCTTATCAAATCCTGCCCATAGGAGTTCTTAAAAGACTGGAAGGAAGATCTCTGGCTGCTGCTTGTTGGATTGAATTCCTAGGCAGGTAGCAATGACCTGCTTGTTAGCCCCAAAGCTTTTCCTGGGCTTCTACAGAACATCTCAGGAGGGGTCAATACTAGGAGTATCGGTTTGGTTCCCAAACTGGACTGAGGGCCCAACAGGGGTCACAGTCTTGGACCTTGGGAATGCTGAGTATCCTGGCACCAGCTGTTGCAGTTGCACAGGATGGGCACTGGGGGCTGCTCTGTAGGCCCCTTGGGGCTTCTGCCCTGGGATGGCTTTAGCTGTCCTGACACAGGACCTTCTGAATATTGGTCATGAGAGTATCCCAGAGGGCAGATTTCCTCAAGAGACAGTACATTCCATATGGAGAAGGGAGGCCTGGGTGGTAACTGCCCCTGCCACAGTTGTCCTCCGTGCTTGACACACAGATTGGTGATTCTAAATGTCCCTGATATGTTGAGTGCTATTTTTGAGAGGCAGTTTGGTCTACGGCAACAATTAAAATAAGAACATATACCTATCAAAATATCTGGGGAAAGTCTACAGGTAGATTACACACACACACACACACACACACAAGGGAGTACCCCCCACAAAAGGGAAAAAAGCTCCACTGGGCAGAGCTCGTAGTACACATTTTTCTTGCTAGGTGAGCATTGAACCAACTCACTCTGAGTTAATGCACCCGGTGGCGTTGCCTAGGAAGATTTTTTGTGGTCACCGTGAATTTTTTCTTCATAAAAGTTTCACTGGAACCTCATTTTTTGTGATGGCTGATTTCAGAGAACAGTGTACAGCTGTGAAGTTTTGTTTCTTGCTCGGGAAAAATACTGCCAAAACTGTTGAGTTGGACAGCGCTATTGGAAAAACTTAAAAGTGTATGAGTGGTTTTCTCATTTCAAAAAAGGGGAAATGTCGAGTAATGACACCGTCAACTTAACCAAATGGACGAAAATGTTGAAAAAAGTTGTGCACTTGTGCTCAAAGACCAACTACAGACCATTGAAAACATGGGGAAGCCACCTGGACTATCTTGGGTTCTGACTGGCCAGGAAAAAAAGCTTCTAGTGGAAATATACTGTGCTCTGAAAGAACAGCTCAGAAGCAACTCAGACTTTTTTTCCAAGGCCATTACTGGTGACAAGACATGGTGCTATTCTTACAACTCTGAAAGCAAACATCAGTCAAGCCAGTGGAAGATGCCATCCTCACCTCACCCAAAAGAAGCTTGTCAAGTGAAATCAAAGAACAATATGATGCTCATGTGTTTTTTTTATGTGAGGGCGATAGTACATTTGGAGTTCGTTCCACCAGGTCAGACTATTAATCATGCTTTCTATTTAGAGGTTTTGAAAAGATGGCTTAACAGTGTGCGACAAAAATGGCCTGATTGGTGGCAGACGGACTGGTTTTGCCACCACAACAATGCACCTGTTCCCACAGCTGTCTCAGTGCAACGGTTTTGGACCACAAAAACCCAGTATGTTTCTTTTGCGGCATGCAGCATACTCAATTGACCTTGCTCTGTGCAATTTCTTTTTGTTTCCACAAATGAAGATGGACATGAAAGGACAGTGATTTGAGAAAGTAGAATAGGTGAAGAAAAAAAGGAAGGTGGTACTGTCAGACATCTAAACAGATGAGTTTGAAAAATGTTTCCAAGAATGGAATTGCAGATTTAACAAATGTATTAGTGTAATGGAGAGTACTTTGAAGGTGATAAAGTTGTTTTGTAAAACAATTTAAATATATAGCTTTGAAGAAAAGAAAATACGTTTGTTTTTTATTTTTGTGTAGCCTCTCATGTATATGTATGTATGTGTGTGTATCCTCTAAGTTAGCAATCTAATACAACACGTTTGTTGTGAAGCATGTATCTGTTCTAATGTAACACAATTTTAATTCTATGCATTTTCAGAAATGAACATTTCTATGACAATGAAAACTGGCTTGAAAACACTAGAATATTGTTAGCTGAGTGATTTTCTAGGGTGTTAACATTGGAAAGAAAATTGGATGACCTAACAGCTGATTCTGTATATATAAGGAGGCTTCAAAAAGTTGGTGGGAAAATTCAATTGTCTTTCTATTATATTCTGCCAAAAACTTTTTGAAGCCTCCTCATACTATCTGAAAGTGATTGAAGTGTATGAAAGTTTTAATTCTAGTATCAGGATATTACACACTTGTGTTTGTACTGAAACTCTACTTGCAGAAAATTGCTTTAACCTAGCCCTTTTCTCTCCCAAGGCTTTACTTACTGCAGTAACATCTCAACACATAGAAATTCACGAAGGAACTGTACTGCAAGCTGTAAGAACATGTTACAATATCTATCTAGCAAGCAAAAATCTTATCAATCAGACAACAGCCAAAGCTACTCTTACTCAGATGTTGAATGTTATCTTTGCACGTATGGAAAACCAAGCAGTAAGTATAACACCTATAGAGATTGTATAGACTGGTACTCGTAGTTATTATCGTGAAGTCTTTCATTTGTAGTTTTATTTACTGAAGATTTGTGGGATCGTGTTTTATTCTGTTATGGTTTGAAATTTGTTTGGCAAATCTGTTAAGCAAAATGTGTTTTTAGTTCAAAAATTGCTGGCTTATAACACTATTTGAATGAAATTTACTAAGTACTTAAGAACATTTACATTCAGTTCTTTCTGTCAAGTTTTATCTAATAAAAATCTTGTTTCCCAAAGTTACTTAGGTTAGTTCTTTTCTTCCTTTTACTCTTCAGTGGGTCTGTTATTTGTAATTTTTCATGTTAATTTGTGTCTGGTTTCCATTTTGGTATCCTCAGCCCACATCCTGATTGGTTCTGAGTTCTTATGTGGGATAGTGTTGGTTTGCTAACCAAAAGGTTGGCATTTCAAACCTATTAACCACGTTATGGTAGAAAGATTAAGCTATCTGCTCCTATAAAGGTTTATAGTGAAAGAACCCTAAACAGAGTCACTGTGAGTTAGAACCAACCTGCAAGCAGTGGATTAGTGCAAGGTCTTTTCTTTAGGACTTAATGTTATACCATGCAGCAAGCCAAGAAAAGTGTGGTGAAGAATTTGTTGAGACTTGGGGTTGATTCACTTGTTTCAAAGTGAAGGCAAAGTTACATAATATTGAAGGGCAAGTACAAGTTGTTGATGAGTTTGGTATTTCATAACTTGGGTTACTTAACTATACTGGGATTTAAGAGCCCAAGCTCTACAGAGGTGTACTTAGACTAGCGCCACTTCCTCCTCATATCTACCATCTCATTTCTAGTCCTGCCTAATTTCTACCTCTTTAGTATAGCTAATCTCTTCTTCCTACATTTGTTTTGCATAAATGAGCAGTTAAAAATATAGTTTCATATATCACCCTCTCTCACACATAAAGGATTACACCTTCTGTATTATCTATTACTAAGTAACAATTTACCTCCAAAATTGAGGTATGTAAACAACACACATTTATTTTCTTTTATAGTTTCAGAGTGTGTGGAATCCACGAGTGACATGACTTAGTGGTTCTGGCTCAGAGTTTCTTAAGAGGTTACAGTTGGGATGTCTGCTGAGACTGCAGCAATTTAAAGGCTTGCCTGGGCTAGAGAATACTAGTGAGCTTCTAAGCTCACACATGGCAGCCGTCGGCAAGAGGCTGCAGTCCCTGTTATGTGGGTCTCATAGTGCTGCTCGTGGCATAGCAACTGTCTTCTTCCAGGATGGATGATTTTAGTGACAGAGTGACAAGACAGAAGCTGCAGTATCTTTTGTAACCTCAAGTGGTCAAACTACCCTTTATATAATCTGGGAGGGTTCTGCACAAGAGACTAAAAATCAAGAGGTAGAGATCATTGGCGGCAATTTAAAGACTGTCTACTACACATAACTATTGGTATTCTTGAGCACTTTGCTTTTTTTTTTACTTAACATTACTATTACTAATGTGAGTAATAGTAATACTATTACTAGTAATAGTAATACTAATGTGAGTACCTCCTGGTACTCACTCCATGTCACTTCAGAGACTTTCCTTATGCTTTTTTACAGAGGGTTTTACCATTGGGACCATTCAGTCACTCTCATATGTGCTGCCATTAGGCTATTTTTTAATATTTTGCAACCACAAACGGTGATTCTACTGCATCTTTGAGGAAATGAATGAACACAATTTAAATAATGGAATATACGTTTTATTCATTTAATTTGTTCAAGGTTTATTGAGTTCTCATATAGATCTTATGAACAGTAAGGGTCAAGGAGGGGAACCAGAACTTTGAACAGATAACCATACAAATGCAAAATAGGTGAATTGTGATAAAACTTGATGAACATGCTTTATATCATTGAGGATATTTATTTCTGTAATTCAAATAACTTTAGGTAAAGGAGGAAAGAGGAAAGACTGATTTATTTAAATTACATATTAGCTAAAATCTTCCAAGATAAAAGGTCTACTTCATTTATATATGTATATAACCATAACCTTAATTCTCTTGCCCTCTCAGGGAGAAAATCCTACAAAGCAAGTCTTGCCAGATTTTATCCTATTAATTTCAGTCCTGAAAACAATTCAGTGGAAGAAAATGGTTTTCTTCCTCTAAAACAGTGGCTCTCAGACACATATTTGAGTCATGTTTGATTTTCAAAATTGTGGAGCTGTAACTGACATATGGTGATAGAGACTGGAAAATGCTGCTAAGCATGCTATAGAACATACAGGACAGTCTCACTCCTTTTACTTAAGCTCACAAATTATCCAAACTAAAATATCATTAATGCCAAGATTGAGAAACCCTATTTTAGAAACTATCCCATATACAAAAGTATATGGGAAATGTTTGAAGGAATATTTTCATGGAATAAAATTTCATTTTTTTCAAGTATATTGCTAAAATTTATGTAACTTTGGATTCGGTGAGGGAATAAGCTAGAATGCTGTTCACTGCTTGCCTGTGATTCCAGAGCATGGACTTGCCCAGGGTGCTGTTTGGTTGAAATTAGGCTATGGGTGGAATTTTATTTCTTACTGCTAATATGGACATTGATGTTTCCATGAACATTCTGATTCCAACTTCTACCTTGCCCATCAGGTTTCTTATCTGTAAAATAAGGAGTTTAGACCATGTGGATGCTAAGGTTCCTCTTCCCTTTTAGGCATTAAAATCTTTATAAATGCATACAATTCTGGTAGTACTGCAAAATTGGCAATATGAAGTATTCATATTTGACATTTCACATTTTCCAATTTTGTAAGAATGATTCTTAATCATCATGAGGATCAAAGAAGTATATAAAAGCAATGAAGTGCTAAAAAACAAACTCCTGTGATCCTGACCACTGTTTTAGGATTGTATAAATGAGCCAGTTTTATGACAATGTATAGTGATAATAAATCATCTAAAATAAAATTGGAACACTTGCGGATTTTTTTTTCATATTAATTATACAGCTGATTGGTAGAGACTTCTAAGTTCACATTGCAATTTTATTTTATATAAGTAAAATATGCTTGACAGGATAATGTAAAATGTTCATTTTTGAAATCCCCCCCTTCATAGATAACCCTTTCAACTAGTTTCTTTTGTATCTTTACATTGTATCAGCAAAAATTAATATGTGTGTGTGTGCGCGCATGCGCGCGTGCGTGCGTATGTTGGAAAACATTCACACACCCACATGTTGCTGCTGCTGTTTCTGTTGGGTTAATTCAAAACTCAGGGCAACCTCATGTGTAGAGTAGAATTGCAATATAAGGTTTTTGTGACCAATCTTTTGGAAGCAAATTGCCAGGTTTGTTTTGAGCCTAACTGGGTGGGTTCGAACCTCCAAACTGTTGGTTAAAAGTAGAGCATGTAACCATTAGTTCTGGCCAGGTGCGTGTATGTATACTCTTCCATCTTGTTTTATATAGTGGCTTATTTAGATATTTTTTCAAACTTAGTGGAACTTTTGATTTTAGCTAAATCCACAGTTGGAAGCAATTCGTTACCACGCTGAGCCTTCAAAAATTATTTTAGCTTATTTTTTGTTAAATATCTTAACTTTAAAAAAATCATTATTGGGGCTCATACAACTCTTATCACAATCCATACAAAAATCCATTGTGTCAAGCACATTTGTACATAGGTTGCCATCATCGTTTTTAAAGCATTTTCCTTCAGCTTGAGCCCTCGGTATCAGCTCATTTTCCCCCCTCCCTCGCTCCTTCATGAACCCTTGATAATTTATAAATTATTATTATTATTATTCATGTCTTGCACTGTCCAATGTCTCCCTTTACCCCTTTGTTGTCCATCCCTCTGGGAGGGGTTATACGTAGGTCATTGTGATCAGTCCCTCTTTGTCCTCCCACCTTCCCCTTCCCCTCCTGGTATGGCTACTCTCAATATTGGTACCAAGGAGTTTATCTGTCCTGCATTCCCTATGTTTCCAGCTCTTATCTGTACCTATGTATGTGCTCTGGTCTAGCCAGATTTTTAAGGAATTAGAGTCATGATAGTTGGGGGGGCGGGATTGGAGGGGGCAAGCATTAAAGAACCAGAGGAAAGCTGTATGTTTCATTGGTGCTATACTGCACCCTGAGTGGCCCATCTCCCCGCAACCTTTCTGTAAGGGGATGTCCGATTGCTTACAGATTGGCTTTGGGCCTCCACTCCGCACTCCCCTCATTCATATTAATGATTTTTTTTTTTTGCTCTGGGACTTTGATGCCTGATAACTGATCCCATCAACACCTCATGATCACAGAGGCTGGTGTGTTTCTTCCATGTGGGGTTCTTATTGTTGCTTTTCAGCTAGATGGCCGCTTGTTTATCTTCAAGCCTTTAGGACTCCCAGACGCTATCTTTTTATAGCCAGGCACCATCAGCTTTCTTCACCACATTTGCTTACGCACCCGCTTTGTCTTCAGCGATCATGTTGAGAAGGTGAGCATCTCAGAGTGCCGAGTTATTAGAACAAAGTGTTCTTGTGTTGAGGGAGTACTTGAATATAGAGGCCAAATGTCCATCTGCTTCCTTAATACTAAACCTATAAATATATGTACATAAAGCTGTTTCCCATCGTCATATATATATTTACATATGTACCTGCCTGTATTTAGATCTCTATAAAGTCCGTTGACTCCTAGTTCTTTCCTCTATTTCCTTTTACTTTCCTCTTGTCCCACTATCATGCTCAGCCTTCATTTGGGTTTCAGTAATTCCTCTTGGTTACATTGCCCTTGATCAAGCCTTACCAGACCTCCTACACCCTCCTTGGTCATCGATGTTCAGTCACTTGTTATTCTCTTAGCCCTGCGTTTGTTAACACCTACTTCCTTTCCCCCTCTCCCATGTCCCCTCGAAACTGTGGTCCTGTTGTTCCCTCTTCTGGCTTGTTTATCCCACCTATCCCATCCAGATAGACATGCAGAGACAACCATATGCACAAACGCAAGACGGAGCAAAGCAAAGCAACAATAGAAAATAAAGCAATAGCTACAATAACAAAAAAACCAACGACAAAAAAAAGCCTATAAGTAGTTCAAGGTCTATCTGTTGTCCTTTATAAGTGTCTTCCAGTCAAGTCTGATGGGGCGCAAAGCCCTGGCCCCACAGTCTATTTTTGGTGTTCCCTGGGAACGTCATTACTCTGTTCTGTTCCCCTTGCTGCTCTGTTGCATGCCCCCAGCAACATTTTTCAAACCCCAAAAAGAATGAAGAGTGTACTTAGTAAAAAGCCTTTTCTTAACACGCACTACTGATAATTGTGTGTGTGTGTGTGTCTATGTTAAATGGTTTTTTATGTTCTTTGTATCTGTGGACCATAATTTCTAAGCCTAAAAATAAAATGGCACTTATATTCAAATGCTTTAGAATTAGATCTAACATTACATCTCCAAATTTTAAACACCATATTTCATTAACACTAGAAATCATTCTATTTTCAGTTGCAGGAAGCCAAACAAATGGAAAAAGAACGGCATCGGCAGCACCACCTGCTGTTGCAGTCTCCAGTAAGCCATCATGAGCCTGAATCACCTCAACTCAGATATCTACCACCTCAGACTGTTGATCATATATCCCAACAACATGAAGGGGACCTTGATTCCCATACAAATGATGTGGATAAAAGCCTTCAGGAGGACACTGAGCCTGAAAATGGATCTGATCTTTCCAGTGCAGAAAATGAACAGACTGAAGCTGATCAGGCAACCGCAGCTGAAAGTAATCTTGAGAAAGGGGTCTGGGGTGTGTGTTAAGGGAAGCATGTAAGGATGATAGTGTTTTGTGAAGAAACGTGGAGAGGGTGATGGACTTAACTGATACCAGAAACACTGTGTTGATACTGGACTTCTTCCATGCGAGGTTGTTGCTCTTGTTAGGTATTACCAAGTCAGTTCTGACTCAGAGCAACTCGGTGCACAACAGAACGAAACACTGCCTGTTCCTGCACCACCTTCACAGTCCTTCTTATGCTTAAGCCCAGTGTTGCAGTCACTGTATCAGGCCACCTGGTTGAGGGCCTTTCTCTCCTTGCTGCTCCACTACCAAGCATGATGTCTTTTTCCAGGGACTGGTCTCTCTTGCTAACATGTCCAGTGTACATGAGACAAATTCCATAGTATTTTCCATTCTAGTAGATAGCATAGTTAATTTCACCTCAACCCGTAAGATGTCTACAATGACACAATGCATTCATTAGTATCTCATCAATAGTGTAATTTATAGGCTTGTTTGGGGGAACACATTTCTAAAGAGTGTCAGAAGTGTTTCTTAGCATGTTATGTAGGAACTTTGTGTTGTCTGAAGCTTAATGATTTTCTGGAGTGTGACCGGAAATCTTATGAAATCAGTATCTTACTGGTTCAGAAAATACTGTGATTATGTTAAAATGAGGTACTGAAATAGAAAATGAAAATTTGTGTGTAGCTACTTGACATAGAAAACAAATTCTTTTTATATGTGTGTGTGGTAATCACTAAAATTGAGATGTTCTCAGACAGCATTTTTATATAAGTAAATAACTTGTAGGGAAATGTGTACATCTAATCCATTGCTATTGACTTGATTCTGAGACTTTGTAAAACTTTATAAGAGCAGAAAGCTTCATCTTTCTCCTGAAGAAAGAAGACTGGTGGATATGAACTGCTAACTTTGCAGTTAGTAGTCCAGTGCATAGCTACTATGCCACTAGAGCTCTGAAAAAAAAATTTTTTTTAAATAAATATATATATGTATATAATAAGAAATTACATTCATTTTAATCATTTGTCTTTCTGAGAAAAATAATCACACAAGCTCAATCTTTTCCAAACATTATACTCAACTTTAACTGGCCTGTGTAACTACAGGCAAGTTTGGGCTGTTTTCAGTGTTCATCAGCTTATTGTAAAAATGAAAAATCATAGAAATCTGGTTGACTACCAAGAACTAAAGTGGTTGGCTCATAGTTAAAATTCATCTGAAGTCTGTGTTTTTACTTCATTTTGAGGAAAGACTCCTATATTTCTTCTGTAACCAAATATAATGGTACTTCACAAAGTGCATAGAAAAAGATAAAGGAATTTTTAACAAACTTTGTGAAGCACTTGCCCAAGAGCATGAATACACAGGGCTTCTTTTACTCTTTCTTCCCCTGTTTTCCACTTTGTGCTTATACAGTGACTGATTCAAAGGACCAATCTTTAATCTTTAATTCAAAGGACTAAGCTTAAATTTTAATCAGTTCATTCATCACACCTTTATTGGGCAGTTTGTCCTAGCCGCTGTGCTGAAACCTAGGTCTCCAGCCTTTTCTCTTAGTCTGCCTGTGGGTTGAGGTGTGTGTCAATGAAGTAGAAGGGGATAAGTGTCCTGTGCTAAGTGTCCAGTATGTGGCATGCACAGGGCAATTTTCCTGAGGGAAGTTAGGAAATAAGTAGATGTGCTATTTTAGCCCAATCTTGATGGATGGGGATAGGAATTAGCTAGCAAGAAAATATTGGGAAATTTTCCAACAAAGAAAACAGGCTAAGCTCTCAAGTAGTTGGAGCAATTATATGAGGCACTACGTGTTTGACCCCCAAAACACCCAAACCTATGGTTGTTGAATTTGTTTCAATTTTCAGCAACTCTCTCTCGGGTTTTGGAGACTAACATTTTATGGAGCAGATAGCCTTATTTTCCCATGGAGCAGCTGTCAGGTGGTTTGAATCACAGACTTGTGGTTAGCAGCCCCGTGTCTAGTCCACAGCACCACCAGGGCTCCTTAAGTGCCTTATAAAATAGAATTATAAATGCAGTGCCATTCTCTCGGGTGTAGTTTTGATTATTTTGACTTTAAAATGCATTTCTTTCAACAAGTGGTATAAAGAGACACTCTGTCTGAGAGCCATTGGTTTTCAGTACATGCTCTGGCATTAAATGACCTGGTTTAAACTACATGTCTGTCACATGCTAGCTGTGTAACTTTGAGCAGAATAATAACTTCTCTAAGCATTTGCTATATGCAATATATAGTAGTTGACTATGATTCTTGTGTTTCTGGCTACTAATAGATGTTTACGTGAGAATTGAATCTTAATTTTCTAGTTATTATGTGCATACTTTTAGGTAGTGACTCAATATATTTAGTAATATTGGCACTCTTATTTTCAGACGCTAGGGAATTTTAGGCCACTGGAGTAATTTTAGGCCACTACTGAAATAAAAAAGCTAAGATTGGCGGAGAAATTATCTGCTAAGGCATTTATTTTTCCCTCTCCACAGGAGGTTCTAAATGCTATTGTACTTATATTTTTAAGTAAAATAAGGTTAGTGATTTGACATGTTTTATTTATAGGCTTCCCCATGTGCTATTGAGTAGTTTGTAAAATGTAGTAGAGACAGTAGGTTACGAGCATTGGAATATAGGGAGGGCAGACTTTTGGAAGCCAGCACTGATGATTTGTGATTTTTTAATAGTAGTGAATGGGAGTGGGGAGCAGTTTGGGGATGCAGACAAGCAAGGAAAGTGGTAACAGCACCACTAGTAGCTAATAAGTAGTCTGAGTCCATTTGGTGTAGGATAGTGGCCCTCAGCATGGTACCCCCAATCCCAGAGGATCTTAAAGTACTAATGGAGGGTTTTTGTGGTATTTACAATCAATATAAACTGACCAGAATGTCAAGTTTGATGGGATTTTCCCAGAAATTATCAATTCTGTGTAGTGACATCAGTATTTCTGAAGCTGTTAAAAGCTCATGTAGGCATTTAATCTCTTTTCAATTTATGTTAAGTTGGGGACGTGCTTTCATTTTATTTAACTTCAGTTTTATAGGGGATATGTGGGTTTTGGTGAGGGAAAATGGTGAGGAAAAGCTGGAAAACATTGGTGGAAACACAGACAGACATTGTGTTAGAGTACAATGTTAATTTTGTCATTATGGGTGAGCCCAAGTAATCAGAACAAGCTTTAATTATAGCTGATGTATTGCTTGGTAAGGGAGAGAAGTGTGCGGGACATGTTGGAAACATATTATTTCGATATATATTTTTTAAAGGTTATGTTAGTAAAGGAATAAAATTAAAACATTTAATTGAGTAGCAACCATTTAATAACTTGTCAAATATAGTATTGTTGAAATTAAAAAAAATAATTTTATTGGGGGCTGATACAACTCTTATCACAATCCTTCCATCCATCCATTGTGTCAAGCCATCACCATTTGTACATATGTTGCCATCATCATTTTCAAAACATTTTCTTTCTACTTGAGCCCTTGGTATCAGCTCATTTTTCCCCCTCACCGCCTCCCTCATGAACCCTTGATAATCTATTAAAAAAAATTTTCATGTCTTACACTGATGGATGTTTCCCTTCACCCACTTTTCTCTTGTCTGTCTCCCTGGGAGGGGGTTATATGTAGATCATTGTGGCCTGTTCTCTCTTTCTCCCCCCCACCTTCCCCTTACCCTCCTGGTACGCTATTCTCATTATTGGTCCTGGGGGTGGGGGTGGGGGGTGTCTGTCCTGCATTCCCTGTGTTTCCAGAAATTTACTTGAATTTGGGAAATGTTTTAAGATTCCTCTGGTTTGTTAGAATTTTTATTTTTTATTTTATTAGAATTTTTAAAGTTTTTTCCTTCCCATGTAACATGTACCTTCTTCTGATTTTTATATCTTATGCTTTTATTGTATTTTAGCACATTTTTTATCATAAATGTTTGTTAAAAATAAAAAAATTTCTGTTTCACAGCCTTATCTAAAAATGATATCTTATATGATGGAGAAAATCATGACATGGAAGAAAAACCACATGACATTGTACAGAGCATTGTAGAAGAGATGGTCAACATTGTTGTTGGAGGTATTGTACTTCACATTCAATTAATTTTATTATACCTTGTAGAATTTCACATGATGGCGGAGAATAACCTCACAATTTTTAAAGCAAAAATGGCAAAATTATAATTTAAAAAATTTTTTATTTCCTTGTTAATTTATTGGGAATTTCGTTTTGAAGAAAAAAATATTTAACATTAATTTTATCATACTCCGCTTACAATCTTTTATAAAAACCTCTTGATTCTCCTCTTTAAGAAAAAAATTGGATGCCTTTTCATTTTTTAGTTTTGCTTTCAGTAGGAAGGAGCAGGACCAATTTCCCATGGTCCTAAATGCTAAATTTGAGCCTTAGTAGTGTAGTGGTTACACATTGGGCTGTGATCCTCATAGTTGGCAGTTTGAAACCATCAACAGTTTTCTACTCCCACAAAGTCTCAGGAACCCACAGGGGATCACTGTGAGTCAGCATTGACTCAATGGCAGTGAGTTAAATGCTAAATTTATTAATAAAATATTGTTTAATGAATTGGTTTTGAGTATTGCATATCTTTCTTGGGAAATAACTTAAAAGTCTGCCTTTATTATCACAGACTAATTATAGTTGCTGTATAGTTCATGTCTTATGAATTAATTTATAAAAATGTTTGAAAGTTTGCTAGGAATGTCATGTTTTTCATAATAGTATTATACATAGTATTAGTTTAAGGCTAACACTGTGGTACTTAACTTAATCCACTGTATTTTACACAAAGTCGAGTGTGGTACCATGTACATATGCTCTTCTAGAAGCATGATATGAACACTGAATATACTATTTTAGCAACAATGGGTGCAAACATAACAAACTCTGGGCAGTGTTTCATTCTGTTTTGCATAGGTCACTCTTGAGTCCGAAGAAACTTAGCAGCATTTAACAATAACATCAAACTCCTGTTTATTCATTGCTAACAGTTTCTTCCCTCATGCAACACTAGAAACAGACATTCATCTAACTACATTCTCATTCTTTGGTTTTATTTATTTATTCTTCATCCTGCAAAAACTTAATGGAATATGAACGGTTGCATGACAGCGTAGAGGGATACATAAATTAATCCAAGAAAAACCATGCTCTTGAGGAAAAGGGTTTGAAATTTATACCTGTAGGACCAATACAAAGTAAAAAGTGCAAGTTTGCATAGAAATAAATAACTATATTATATTAAAATTCAGCAAAGCAGTGGTTATTTCCAACAACAGTATTTCAGCAGGAGGGCTTCTTGTAGATGGTGATATTTCAATATAAACCGTGTGGATTCACACAGAAATGGAGGAGTGATAGTTCCTATATTAGAAATGTATCAGAAAAAAAATGTATCAGCAAAGGTTTAGAGGAGAGAATGGTTAGACATATTTGGGAATTGTAAAGTTGTGGTTTGGCTTAAGTATAGAGCAGGAATGGGACTATCAATACCAACATCACACACATCACCAAAGAAGCAGTTCTAGTCATTGTATTAGGGGTCAGTTAATTAAATGTTTGACTAGCGTCACCTGTGAATGACACTATAAAAATCCAAATAGCGTTTGGCAGAAAAAAGGTTCCCCGCCCCTGTTACATTGTTATGGTTAGGTTCCTTCTCCTGAGTTTTGGCAATGCAACCTCACATACAACAGAACAAAACACTGCTTGATCTTTGCCATTCTCACAAATATTCCTATGCTTGAGCCCACTGTTGCAGCCACTGTGCCAGTCCATCTTCTTCAGGGCCTTCCTCTTTTTTCACTGCCCTTCCACTTTACCAAGCTGGATGTCCTTTTTCAGGGACTGGTCTCTCCTGACCCCATGTCCAAAGTATGTGAAACAAAATCTTGCCTTTTTTGCCTCCAAGGAGCACTCTGGCATGACTTCTTCCAATACAGATCTGTTTGTCCTTTTAGCAGCCCATGGTACTTTGAATATTCTTCTCCAGCACCACAATTCAAAAGCATTGATTCTTCTTCGGTCTTCTTTATTCACTGCCCAACTTTCACATGCATATGAGGCAATGCGAATTCTATGGCTTGAGTCGGGCACACCTTAGTCCTCAGAGTAACATCCTTGCTTTCCAGTACTCTGAAGAGGTCTTGTGCAGCAGATTTGCCTAATGCAGCTTGTCTTTTGATTTCTTGACTGCTGCTTCCATGAGCATTGATTGTTGATCCAAACAAGACAAAAATCCTTAACAGCTTCAACCTCTTCTCCATTTATCATGATGTTACTTATTGGTCCAGTTGTGAGGATTTTTTTTTCTTTACCTTGAGTTGTAATCCATACTGAAGTCTGGAATCCTTGATCTTCAGCAGTAAGGGCCTCAGTCCCTCTCACTTTCAGCCAGCAAAGTTGTGTCATATTCATATCACAGGCTGTTAATAAGTCTTCCTCCAATTCTGATGCCAAGTTCTTTTCATATAACTCACTTTCTCTGATGATTTGCTCACCATACAGATTGAATGAGTATGGTGAGAGGATACAACCCTGTTGCATACCTTTCCTGATTTTAAACCATGCAGTATTTGCTTATTCTGTGCTCACAACTACCTTTTGATCTATGTACAAGTTCTACATGAACATAATGAAGTGCTCTAGAATTCCTATTCCTCTCAAAGTTCTCCATAATTGGTTATGAACCACATAGTTGAATGCCTTGGCATAGTCAGTAAAACACAAGCATATTTCTGGTGTTCTTTAATTTTAGCCAAGATTCACCTGACATCAACACTGACGTTCCTTGTTCCATGTACTCTTCTGAACCTGGTCTGAACTCTGATAGTAGCTCCTTATCTGTACTTCAGCAACCATTGTTGGATGATCTTCAGCAAAATTTTCCATGTGATATCATTTATATTCTATAATTTGAGCATTGGGTCACGGTTCTTTGAAATGGATACAAACGTCCATCTCTTCCAGCTGTCTTACAAATTTCCTGGCATAGACTAGTAAGTAAATTGGGGATTACCTGTATATAGAATTAGATCAATCTCCCTTCCGTGTCAATATCCACAGAGACTTGAAAGCAAATGCTGTGACATTTTGGGGGGTGGGGAGTGGAGTGAAATGAGGAGGGTAGTCTCAAGTTGTCAATTATTGGGCTACATCAAAGTAATAGAGAATTGAATCAAAAACCAATGACTTTAAAGTCCATGACCTGGAAATAGCAATCCTTTGCTTGTCACACGCAAGTGTTTTAGCTTATAAGTCCCAAAGAGTGATTCAGTTCTTTTAATCTGCAGCATGGGTACATTTAATGTAAAGTCCAGTTTGCTTAGTGGGGTTTCCAAAACAGATCCTTCTGATGGGGCCTCAGAAGAAAGCTATACACCGCAAAATGGCAAAATCTAAAATCTGTAGCCTATAGCACGGGACCTGGATCACTAAAGGCAGAAAGGAAATTTGGTCAAAAATGTATGATTAGCAACATTATACACATTATACAAGGTGGAATTTTTCATTTGGGATTCTACACTAGTAGTGTTAGGGGTTTTCTCCAAGGGCATATTGCCCTTTTTCAGTTTTTCCAGAAACAGAAGTCAAATCACTATCTTAGATACATGCCCACCCCCATCTCTGGTCATGAGTTTTCATAAAAATTCACTGAATATCATTATAGGAGTGTCTAATAAATTAGTATGACCATAGGATAGTACTATATGGTAGGAACTATTTGGGTCTCTCCCCCCAGATTAGAAATTGGCCCTAGTTAAGGTGACATTGCTTATGAAGATGTACAACTAAGGGAGTGATAAGTGGATTATGAGCATTAGAGAAACACATCAAAACATTGCCTGGGAGATCAGATTAAATGACATGACCTGCCTTAAACCCACTTGACCAGTCCGATTTCCTTTTTTGGAATCTGACCCTCTAAACACATTGAATTTTTCAAAGGGCACAGTGCTCAGAGAAAAATGGTCTACTGGTCTTTCAGATTCAAAATGGTTACTAGGCCCCATATTTTTGTTTTGGTCTTAATTTTAAGAGCCAAAGGGTTTGTTGTTGCTTTTTTAAAAAAAGAACATTAGGAGCAAATGGTTCACATATGGTTATCACAACTTCTAGGAAAGCCAGACACAGGACAGAAATATTAATATCTGTGAGTCTGGGTAGACTAGAGAAACAAATTCATAGACATACGTGTGTATAAGGAAGAGATTTATATAATGAGTAATTATACATTAAGAAAACATCCCAGCCCATTTCAAATCAAGTCCACAAGTCCGATATTAGCCCATATGTCTGATACCAATGTATAAAGTCCTCTTCAGGCTCAACGAAACACATGCAATGACACCAAATGCAGGAAGATCACAGGCCAGTGGGTGGAAAGTCTTGTGGATCCAGTGGCGTTGTAAGCATTTCAGCGCTGGCAGGGGTCTCCATGTGACTCCTCCAGCTCACGGCACTAGCATAGTTCCATGTGTCTTGTCAGCTGCAATGTCCCCCAGGGAGTGAGCCTGTGTCCTGACTCCAGTGAGCTATTTATCTCTTTGGTGCCCTCCAAAATGCAGTCATCAAGCTACGACCTGATTGACAGGCTAGACTCCACCTCTTCACTCTTAATCCTCTCTCTCAAATTGACAAACAATTATATAACTACCACACAATGTAAGGCCAAATGTTTGAAAATAACATACAACTAAGTATCATAAATACTATGAGGTATTTATTTATTTTTAAGTAATACTAGTACAAACTCCAGTCTGTGAAAACCTTGGGTGTGTATGAACAAAGGGGTCAAAATGGGCACTCAAAACATTCCTATATTAAAACACAAACTGCCACTTTGGAACTTAGCAAGGAATCATACTCTTAGTCTATAATTTGTAATCCATAGCTCAGATCTCACTAGCTTCTCACACTGATTTTTATGAGTTTGTTAAATTTTGCTAATAGAAGCTTTGAATTAGAGAGTCATGATATTTTAAACCCCAAAGTTAAACAATTGGGGGTAAATGAAAAAATAAATAAAAGTAGTTCCTTATATCGCAGAAAATACTCTTAAAATGCCCACAATATCCCCACACGTAGAATGTACAGAAGCATTTAATCTGTTTACTAGTTATTCTCTAGACGATTTTTCTATCCATTGTAATTCATGGACTCTTCCCTTTTTTTGTTCTAGAAATCTTCAGTTGCACTGGTGGGCTCCATCCAACTCAGGATATTAGTTCTTTTTAAAATAAGTCCCAAATAGTCCATTATTTGGTTGGAAGTTTCTAGTCAAATGTAATGTCTCCGCAGGTCAACGAAGCAGAAGCTTATTTGTAGTGAACAGAACTCGCTGTCACTGTGCTTAGTCAGTAGTGTCATGGCATTCCTGAGCCCTTGTTTTCTGGAGGGTGAGCAGCCTGTATCCTTAGTCTGGGCGGGCAGACTTTTGAGTCATCACAGGCAAAGAGATGAAGAGGACTGTGCATCGTTCTTCTGTTCCTGGGAAAACACTGACGTTTTTTAGGAAGGAATGGTTATTTTGAAGGCTAGCGCATTGTCAGTGTAATAGTTGTGTTTCTGTAACATGTACTTTAATAATAAAATTTGCAGTATTAAGTAGCATGTTGAACGTTAGCGTATTTACAGCAAAAGATCTGCCTGGAAAGTAACTGTGTTTTATGTTTCCCAGATGTATGTCTGAGCTTTTTTTTACATGTCACAATTGTTCAATGTAAAACATAGTTTAGAATTAACCCTCCTCGTTGATCCAGTGTATTTTAATATGGAGAACAAAAAGCAGCTTCTGGATAAGGGCACCCGAAGCTGCTGCTCCATTCATTTCATGCCTCAATCAAAAGTTGATGACATGTTATTACTGAGGCAATTGTGTTTTTACATATATTTTATATTTGTGTGTATTTTGGTGAATTCCCATAGACACTGTTATCTCCATTTTGCTGAAACTTAAGTGAAGAAAGACAAATAACTTTCCAGTTAAAGTGATGGATATAGAAACAAGGATCTTTCATAGTCCCAAATCTATCCCTATAATACAAAGTTTTCCTCATGCTAGTTTATAGTTTATTTCATTGTTAGTAAGAAAGGACCAATTTCCTGCCAAGTGTCTATTGAGCTATGGCCTCACACCCATGTGCTCCTTTTTAAAAAGAGCTACACTTAGAATAGTTCTAGGACTAGGTGTTCCACTGGACTTCCATGTTCTCCTGGAAGTTTTGTTTCTATTTATATTAATTACCCATATGATTACTCAGCATAACAGAATGAAAAGTGTGTATCGATGTAGGCCATGCTTTTTAAAACTGGTACGAAGAACACATTCTTAGAGATTAATGTCCTAACAATATAAGGAGTGAGATGAAGTATATTTCAGGAACATTACATACTGTTTGTCCCCTTTGAAGAGCTGAAAGCATATTAACAAATTAAAGGCTGTATTAAAGAAAAGCATGTTTCCCTAAACTTATTTGATATGAAATTTGGTTTAAGAATCTTCAGTTAACATCTCATGGCAGTAACGTTCATTCAAACCCAAGTTAGTAAACTGAAATTAAGTTCTGTTTTGGCACGTAGTGCTTAGCATTTCATCAGCTGAATGTGTTTCATTGCCAAAGCAACTTCAGAGTTATATTTGTACATATTTTAAATTCATTCTTGTGAGTGTGCTAACCTTTAAATGATGACAATACATATTACACCTACTGCTCTTTTGCCACTGCTTCATTTGAAATAGTGTATGCTTTTTATAAATACACTTGGTTAATTCAAAGTATTTTTTATCATTTTAGACATGGGAGATGGCACTCCTGTAAGTGCAAACACAGATGGCAATGCTGGAACTTTGGAAGACGGGAGTGATAGTGAGAATATCCAAGCAAACGGAATTCCTGGAACACCAATTTCTGTTGCATACACACCATCTTTACCTGATGACAGGTTATCTGTCTCTTCCAATGATACTCAGGTATAATTGGAGGGACAGCTCAGTAATCTCACAGCTGTGTTATATTTAGTTGATGATACTGGCAGATTTCAAGATGGGAAAGTAAAATACATTTTTCCCTCCCTTCCACTTAATAATATAAATCAAAGCAGCTTAATCCCTTTCAATGTTGATGGTTGCATTCTCAACTTTAAGGCCGGTGTCATGATTTCCATCTGCCTTTCACCTTGGCCCATTTGAAGAAATGACATTGATAAATAACATTCTCAAAAGAATGTTTGGGATTGATATCAGTGAAGCCAAGGTTGGGAGTTAGGAATGTTAATACCTTTTTCAAGATATTTCTGGGATCCTAGAATGAGGAAAAGGAGTGGGTTATTAGTTGGGTTGCTAACTGCAAGGGCAACAGTTTGAAACCACCATGTCCTTCTTGAGACAAAGATTTTTTGCTCCCCTAAATTTTTACAGCTCCAGAGATCCAAAGGGGCAATTCTGTTCTGTCCTGTACAATTGCTGAGAGTCAAAATCAACTCAACAGCAGTGAGCTCTAGGGGGCTGGGGTGGGGGGGATTAAAAATGAGAATGAACTTTCAGAATTTTAAGAAGCATCCTTTACTTAAGGCGATAATGAAATCACTACTATGGTAGTAGCAGGTCTTCACTATTACTGTTAGTATTATGTAGGTTTTATCCTTATCTTTTTAGATAAGAGCATCCTATCCTAAATTCATGCTCCATCTATTGACCTTTACGCATTACTGGTGTGTAGCAAATACCAACTTTTAGACATTGCTTTGACAATCTTCATTGTCTGTGTCTGCTCAAGAGAAGATGAAAAGTTGAAAAGGAAAACAAATAAAGCATGTAACAGAAGAAAGTATGTATAATTTAGGCCTCTGGATGAAATATCCTGTCAGGGCATTATGAGCTAGGGTTTTATCAATAATCATATGAACTGGGTCGATTTTAAGATTTTTTTGTGGTAGCAATGGGGCAATATTTAAGAACAATGCAATTTTTTGGTAAGTATTTAATTGTGGAGGGGTGGGGTAGTTTGTCAAATTAAAGAAAAGTGGTATAGCAAATACCTCATCTGGTTTTCTTTTGATAGGTAGGGTAAACATCTTTATATTAATGTAATAAAAATATATTAGAAGGCTGTTTGAAAAAATGAAAAACACTGAAAACTGTCTGCCTTGTCATGGTATGTTGGTATGTTAACTTGTTTAGGAATCTGGAAACTCTTCAGGACCTTCACCTGGTGCTAAGTTTTCCCACATTTTACAAAAGGATGCCTTTCTAGTATTCAGGTCATTGTGTAAACTGTCAATGAAGCCACTGTCAGATGGACCGCCAGATCCAAAGTAAGTCAATAGTTGATAGCCTGTTTTCTTTTTCAGCTTAAAATTTATTAAGAGAATCTTTGAGTTTCCTTTTATTCTCTTGGTACTGTAGCATTCAAAACTTTTTAGGCTGTTTCATGCTTAAATTAAAAATGTGAAAAACACTTGATTTACAAAACTGCTGGAGTAAGTACCTTGCAGTTTTTCTCAAAGAGTGCAGACAGCATTACAGAATAGTGCCTGTTACCTAATTGGAGCTCAGTAAGTATTACTGAGTGGTTGAGTGAGTGTATGAATGATTTTTGTTGTCATTGATGTCAATATTGTAAGTAACTTTGAAACTCAAGTAGCTCTGTGTCCTAGCTTCAGACTAGGCTTCTGGAAGCATCAAAAGGTAACGAAGCCCAAAGTAAATACAGTGAACCCTCGCCACTTCACGCTTCAACTTCCGCGGCTTCACTCTATCGCGGTTTTTGCGTAACAGCACCCACTGCCTACACCCGCTCCTTCAGAGGAAAAAGACGGCGACCCACCTGTAGAGTATATCCCTTAAGTCGTTTCATAGGCTATTGATTACAGTATTTGTAAGAACTATGTATAATAATACTGTATGTGAAATATATAATACTGTAAACTAGATGCCATAAATAAATATAATAAATAATAAATGATAATTGTAACATCCAAAATGTTTTACTGTATTTTCCCTTTTTCGTTTAATAAATTGGGTAATACGAGTGTAATGGTGACTAAAGGGTGTTTTTTCATGTCCTCTATGCTCTAACTACGAAAATATTTGATTTACAAATAAAGAATCCTACTTCGCGGAATTTCATTTATCACGGTAGGGTCTAGAACCGATTAACTGCGATAAACGAGGGTTCACTGTAAATCCTAAGTGTCATAATATATGATATGCATTCATTAAAGTCTGACAAAATACCCTAGGGAGTGCCTTAGCGTACACATCTTGTACCTGATTCCTATAAAACATTTACTTAATGCTAGGGAGGCACGGTTTTGTAAGTTATAGTCAACTGTCTTTATAGGGATCAACTTTACTGCTTGAGATTGAAGTTTGGGATTGTTAGAGTGACCTGGCTCTACTGAGGAAGCATGAGCTATTGCAATAATCCTTTGAGAACGTTCAGGAGAGAAACAGGAAGGCCTGCTTGGAATTTTAAAACAGTGTATAGCTAAGAAAAAAGAACTGGAAACTGCCGTTATAACAGTTTGAATGCGGCACAGTCTGAAATGTTTGTGATGATTTTACTTTTTTATTATTTATTATTAACTGAGAGTTAATACATATATTGTTCCATAGTTCAATAACATCAAGTAGAATTATACAATTGCTACCACAATCGGTTACAAAACATTCTTTTTCTTCTGGACTCCTTGACATCATCTCCCTTTTAACCCCTGGATCCCCTGAAGCCCTTTTCCTACTTGCTGTCCCTATAGGTTCATCAATCCTGGGTTTCCTATACCGAAACACAGGGAAACATAGAACACACAGCGTCATGAGGGTGACCTCCAATGACAGAACACCCCTGAGACACACCCTAATATGAACAAATGCCATCATTTTAAATGGGAATAGGGTTGTGAACAAAAGCAACAAGGCATACCTCTTAATTTTTCCTTCTGCAATGGAAAAATAAGTTGACTGTAATACTTGTGTGGGGTTCCTTTTCATATAATTATATTCATTTCATATTTACTCCTGCTGGGGGAGAAGTTCGTTTATAATTTTATGGTAAAAATACATGCAACAGATTTTACCATTATATCCATTTTTGTGTATATAATTCAGTGAAATTAATTACATTCCCTATGTTTTACTACCATCACTACCACTCATTCCAAAATTTTTACATCACCTCAAAGAGAAGCTCAGAACTTCTTTAACAGTAACTCCTTTCCTCCCCATGCCCCTACCCCAAACCTCCTAAACCAAACCCATGTGAGTCACAGCCCAACTTTTAACCACTCTGCCACCGGGGCTCCTCCCTCAAGCTCTGGTCAATACTAATTTGTGAGTGATTTTTCCCATTTAAAAAGTTTCTAAAGTCACATAGTACAGGAAGCATCTGTAATTATCGATTACTTATGGATTAGCTTATTTACATACTGTGCTATCTTTATGCATTTTAGTTTTCATTTTATCTCCATTTAGAAAAAAAATTATAAATTGTGGTGCAGGACATATCTTTGGAATAACCTATAATTACCGTAATGCTAAATTTGTTCATATATTGTGACTTCTCTTTTACATTTTAGATCTCATGAGCTACGATCCAAGATTCTCTCATTGCAGTTACTTCTGTCCATTCTGCAGAATGCAGGACCTGTTTTCAGGACTAATGAGATGTTTATTAATGCTATTAAGCAGTACCTATGCGTTGCACTCTCAAAAAATGGAGTCTCATCTGTTCCAGAGGTTTTTGAGCTTTCTCTATCAATATTTCTAACTTTGTTATCAAACTTCAAGACACATCTGAAGATGCAAATTGAGGTAAGTTTTGTATTTAGGCATTAAAGTACAAGATTAGTGTTGACAGTTTCATTTGGTTTGTATTAAATCAGATTTTTAATACTAAAGGTTTTCAAAATGTGAATCATATTTGTATGCTACGTACCATACACCCTACACTTCTACCCCATTCTCATTTATTTAAGATGTGCCTATGAAGTGCTAGGCAGCACTAAGAATGCAAGACCTTGTCTTGTGAAGAATTTGTGCTAGGCAAATGAATGTGTCTAGATGTCAGGAATTAATTTCACCCTCACACTAACTCATTGTTTATATTGTTTGTAATTGTGACTTTGGTTATTCAAAGAAAGCTCCAAGTTTTCATAGTGACATTGAGGCTTATCTGTGGTGCCATTATTACTAACAGAAATTTTCCGATACCATGATAACTTGAAATCAGCTTTGGCAATTCTTGACAATTTCTATGACGACTGAATGGGAAAAAAAGGTCCAAATCTACACTGTGTCTATAGACATGGTTTTAAACTACTTAAGCTTTAGCACTTTAAAAGGGGTGCTTGGGGAATGGATTTTAGGGGGATTATAATTTAAGATATTGAAAAGAATTATTTCTGCTTTGTGTTTACATATAGAATATTATATTTTTTGTAATGTATATAACAATATTATGTATCTAAAGTTTTCTCTAAACTTTTGGAGATTTTTAAATATATTTTCTAAATATTTTAGAAAGAGGCTCTAAAATATTTAAAAAGATTTAGCAGTACTAAATTAGCGAACTTCAACGTTTTCTTTTTCTACGGTCCAGATGTACCAATTTCTTTGTTATCCCCTTCAAATCAACATTTTAAAGTAGTGCTTTGTGTTGTATTGATGGGATACTTTTCCAGCTTTTCATGTGAAAATATTGAGTTAGGATGGTCTGTGTCATTAGAGATACTCACTTGTATGTTGATCAGTCTTTACCGTATTATATTTGACATTTAGCGTCTGGGCTTATCTTTGTGTCATAATTTATGGTAAAACCTAATAGTTTATTTAGTAGAAAGGATAAACTATTATTCTCCCAGACATTTGAGATTGTTAAACTAGTCATGGGATCCTATATTGATATTCTATGACAGCTATTAAAATTCATTTAGAACATTATAGTAGTAAGTTAGTATAAAAACGACCTTGTTTTTCTACCTTAAACACTTTTATTTGGTCCATATCTTTTGACATGATTACCTTACTAAAGTTTCAGAAGTTTTCCATATAGCTATTTAAAGAATACAAAGCTTTAGCTAAAGACAGTTGCTATTTTTAGTATTTTTAGATGATCTTCCCAGTTATCTTCAGGAACTACAAGCGGAGAATTATAGTTGTTAACATTTGAAACTTTTTTTATCAACCTGTATGACTTTTTTTCTTAATATGTAATTTCTATGGTGAATTAGGTGTAGGGGTGGTTACATTTCAGATGATCAATTTTGTATTCAAGTGAGGAATCATTTGTATTTTTCAGACAACAGAGAGCTCCAGTTTTGTGAGTAATTGTATAACTAAATTACATGGGCTATGTCCTTTTTATTCTGTCGATTAGAATTACTCTCTGCTATTGAGTCGATGCCAACTCAGCAAACTTATAGGACAGGGTAGAACTGCCTCCGGGAGTAGAAAACCTCATTTTTCTCCTACAGAGCCACTGATCATTTTGAACCACTGACCTTGTGGTTAGCAACCTATAAGTGATGCGCAGTAAAATGTATACTTTTCTCAGAGGGTAGCCAATGGATATATTTAGTTTTGTAAATATACACACGTTCACATGATAATTCTATTCTGAGGGAACTCTAAATCATAGCAGATTTCTTCTGCCGTAGCAAACAAAACACAACAATTTGAAGTGCAGTGCAGATACTGTAAGAGCTCCTTAAAATCATCAGCCCATTTTATTTTAGTTTTCATGTGTTAGAGAAAGAACTCAAAAAATTCCAGAAGACCCTGGGTCCACATCTCTGCTCTATAGCTTTGGGAGATTTGAAACTGTACATGAAGCAACATTTTAAACAGAAGTTTTCCCTTAATCCCAGGTATTCTTTAAAGAGATTTTCCTGTACATCTTGGAAACTTCAACCAGCTCATTTGACCACAAATGGATGGTTATTCAGACCCTGACAAGAATTTGTGCAGGTACTGAAAATGAGCTTCACTACTCTCTCTTGCTAATGAGAAGATACTTAAGTGGTCAAATGTATTCCTATACTAGATGCCTTTTATTAAAATTAATGTGTTATATTCTTACAGATGCCCAGAGTGTAGTGGATATTTATGTAAACTATGATTGTGATCTAAATGCAGCAAATATATTTGAAAGATTAGTAAATGATCTATCAAAAATTGCCCAAGGACGGGGCAGTCAAGAACTTGGTATGAGTAATGTTCAGGTAAGAATTTTTAACATTTATATCTAATATGAACTTTGCCACGGAAGAGGAACATTTTGTTTGTTTTATATATATTTGCTTTTCTTTAACTTAAGAATGTTTTTGCAGGAATTGAGCCTGAGGAAGAAAGGTTTAGAATGCCTGGTGTCGATTCTGAAGTGTATGGTGGAGTGGAGTAAGGATCAGTATGTGAATCCCAACTCTCAAACAACTCTTGGTAAGGGGCAGTTTCAGTTTTCATTCTTTTCTTCAATGTAAGTAAATTATACCTTCAAGATTGGGTGCAGATGCCTTTAAAGCAGTTCATGACCTATTTTGTTCCATGAAGGAGCATTCCTTATAAGTTAAATAACTAGTTTTAAAATGATTAATTTCCAACTTAGTTTTCAAAAGTATATTTAAATTTTTCCTTAACCATGATAATTTAGTAATAGCCCTAGTTTTATGTACTGTTTTTCGTTATTTTTAGTATAACAATAAAAGAGAACACATTTGTGCAGCTTGCTGTAAGATAATCAGGGGAGGAACAGGTAAAAGTTGGTATTTTTTAGGAAGGTTGAATTGTTTATCTTCCGTGTAGTCTATAAGCTTGTCTTAGCTTAATCAAGAGTGTTGGGAAGGAAACTGTTCCTCGTCAGCATGAGTTGAGCACAGGAGACTCGGTGAATGCTCAGCACTGCAGATGCAACAAAAGAGCCCCTACTAGTGTAAAACATCCAAGTTTCATGTTGTTGTTGTGTTAGGTTTGTTTGTTTTACCGTGTCTTAATATTAAGATCTTCTGTGGTACTCGATGTTTGTTTTGTGTTACATTGGTATCACCGTAACGTAGACCTATCTTGCTTTATTCTAATTTGTTTTATCTTTCCTGTTTCTTTCCTTTATTTAACAAAATAACTCATCAGTTTTTCTTCTTATAGGTCAGGAGAAACCCTCAGAACAAGAGACAAGTGAAATGAAACATCCTGAGACAATAAATAGATATGGCAGTTTAAATTCTCTGGAGTCAACATCATCATCAGGAATAGGCAGCTACAGCACACAGATGTCTGGCAATGATAATCCAGAACAATTTGAGGTCCTAAAGCAGCAAAAAGAAATAATAGAGCAAGGGATAGATTTGTAAGTATCAGATTCTTTTTTTAAAATTATTTGTACGTGAACCTAGGACCGTATGCTTTTATTTTATTTTTTTAAACAGGCTTTCTAACTGATTTTCTTTTATTTTATTTTTAATATTTTTATTGGGGGCTCTTACATCTATTATCACAGTCCAAACATTCATCCAGGATGTCAAACACATTTGCACATATGCCACCATCATCGTTTTCAAAGCATTCTCTTCCCATTTCGGCCCCTGATATCCGCTACCTATTTCTTCCCCCTCCTGCCCCAGCCCACCTTCCCTCACAAACACTTGATAAGTTATGGATTATTTTTTCCATATCTTGCATCATTCTCTGTTGCCCCTCACCCACTTTTCATTATTCACTCCCCTGGGAGGGGGTTATATGTTGATCCTTGTGATCGTTCCCCCTTTCTCCCACCATCCTGCCGTAATCCTCCTGGTATGTCTACTCACCTCGTTGTCCCTGAGGGATTTATCTATCCTGGATTCCTTGTGTTGTGGGCTCTTATCTGTAGCAGTGGGCATGCTCTGGTCTAATCCAATTTGTAAGGTAGAATAGAGGTCGTGATAGTGGGGTGAAGGAAGCACCAAATAACTAGAGGAAGGTTGTGTGTTTCATCACTGCTATACTACACACTGA